GATTTTTTAGAATGAAGAAGTCAGAAGAATGAGTTGTCTTCTTGATTTTATGCATTCAACCACAGTTTTCCGAGCACTTACTTCCTCGCTGTGCAAATTACAGGTACGATGCATATCAGAAACCGCAAAACTGCGTGTGTATAATTCGATCGCATTCGTCGGATGCGCAGCATTCCTGACGATCCTGTCGTTTATTCCTGCATCTCGAGCTTATGTAGCTATTGCATGCCTTGGACTTGCCGCTGGATGCCTTGGCTTCACAACTGGCGGTTTCTTCAAAGCTGCGCCACTTATATCCAAGCATTTCAGTCCTTTTGTTACTGGAAACATTTCTTTAGGTTAGCGAAACTGCAGTTTGAAATAAAATTAGTTTACTAGAAGAAACACTTAAATTTGAATGCTCTTAGTTCAAAAATATGTATCAGTTACAGCGCAGGCACTAGACAACACCAAACAACAAACACCTGAATATTTATACCGCCATCAAGCACATGTGAATGTTGTAGTTGTTGTTTCTTTGTTATGCTTCTCGTCACAGCTTGCCACTTCTCTACTTTCCTCTATTTTCGGCCTCTCAGGGGCAAATTTTTCTGCACTCTTTCAAGAGAATCGTTCCGTTGCATTTCCAACCTTCTTTGTGCTCTTTTAACGTTGTGTGGGTGGAACAGAGTAATCCATTTTTGTCGTTTATTGTCTCTCACTTTTGCCACAGAACCAGCCCAGCTCTTCTTCATAATATACATCCCCTTGCTCAGGGTAGCTAACTGATCTTTTTCCAGACTGAAATGGATATAACGACAGAAAATGCGATGTAAAAAGGGTGAAAGAGATGACGAAGAAAAAGATTTTTGGAACTAAGGCATGGGAAAAGCGAACAGTGCTAATGTTAAAACCAGATGTATAGATGCGCATAATGGAAAATGGATAAATAACTTACTTGTAGGGATAACGATAACAATGCTGGTGGTACCGGCATTAGTATGGGGACTGGCGCCAGAAAACGATATTTCCGGATGGCAGAGGGTGTTCCTTACAACGGCCGGCGTACTCTTCCTAACAAATATTGCATTTTGTAAGCTATTTGAGTTCATTAAATTTCATTCTTAAATTCTCCCAGGGATGCCCATCACTGATAAGCAGAAGCAGAGAGGGACGTAAATAAACTAATATGGTCGGAGCATCATGGAAAAATGTTTAATGAGGCCACCAAATACATTTAGAATTCGTAAAAATCAGCTGAGATGAGCTCAGACGCTCCCCCTTCGCCTTTCCTGAGCTTCTTGACTTTGGCCCTTGCACCATGTTAAAGTGTTTGGCGTTTAATTTATCTTTAAAATAGGACATCTTTCTGTATTTTGATATGATGTATCTGTGTTTTAAGGTCTGATGTGCTCTGCGGAGCCAGCTTCCTGGACAACCGATGAATTCAGCCGCGCGGCTTCGCAATCTCGTTTGGCTACAGCCGCTGCAAAAAGTGAAAGAAAAGCAAAGATTCAGTCAAATCTGCAATAAACAACAAGATTGCCATTCAGTTGCCGAGCAGAGAGAAAAAGAAAGCATGGTGCTAAGAAAAAGTGACCGTTTCAGATAATTTTTTGGGTGCTCTCGATTGTTTCAAACCATCAAAACATGTTCCATTCGCAGTTCAACTACAGTAGTATTACGTGCAATCACATTTTAAACGGGCAGGATATGTACGCACTGTGAGGGATTGGCACAGTGTCAGCATCTTCGCACCGAAATCTCTCCGAGTTCATGCAGCAAAGGCTCTCTTTTTTCAGATTGCTTGGTCAGGTTATTAAGGTGTCGAAAATTCCCATTTCCCTCCCCAAGTTATATCGCATAGAAAAGGTATTCGTCAGAAATATCCGTTAGATGTATAATTTATTTTTGGAAGACACTAAGTAGCATATTATGCGGCTACTGAGACATCACTTCTAGAAGAGTCAGTTTTTTGAAATCCGGCGAATGCTGGAAGTTTCTTGAAAGGCCGTAACCTTTTAAGGCTTGGTTTTCTGGAAAGCCCTGGAATCTGAAGATTTACGCTCGCATTACGAAATTCTACCTCAGAACTGTTGTAGAGGCTGGAATGTTGAACACTGGATAATCTGGTCTCGTTTTCCAACAACTTTAAGTATTAAATCAACAATTAAAAAACATACTAACACCGTAAGCTCTTTCCAAAATAAACTCACACATTTGTATATTAAAAAATTTCTCAATTTAAAATCAGCGGTCCCTATAGAAAAATGGAAATGCTTTTTGAGCTGCTTATGTAAATTCACAAGGTTTCTCAAAAAGCCTTAGAAACAGAAAAAAAGCAGAATGCGGAAATAAAAACCCGCGTTGAATTTTTTGGCTTAATCGCTTATAGATGGCAGTTTTGCCAGCGCAGGCGATGAATGGTGGGATGGGCCTTGGACTCTGTACACAAAAATAAGAGACTGACGAAATGAACATGCAACTAAAAATCACCAACAAAGTATAATTTTGGATTGCTGACAAAGTGAATGAAGAAATAATGAAACAAGCAAACGGCGACAAAACATTTTAGCCGTTTGCACCGAAATTCGTGCTATCATCCACAACTGACTGCCTCCGGGAAAAGGCGGATTCATCGCGAACACTATTCGCTCCATAAGCCAGTCGAATTTCATTAAGACCACGCAGTATCGTAATGGTTTGGGAGGTATTTTCAGCCAGAAATACTGTCTTGTCTGAGAGCAATTTGCGCCATGGACTTAACTCGGAACACTGCCGATAATGAAAAGCCTGCGCATTAAACCATTACTAAACAATTATTTTTTGTGGAATGAACGTATGAACGTATCCAAATTTGAATGAGTTTCTAGTCTTATCGTGGGTTTTTTGAAAGTATGGTAGCTCCTAAGAAAAAAAAGAAAGATTAGCTCAACTAACGAAACAATACTAAATTATAATAAAAGCAGCAGAGAATAAGTGCAGTGCGTCATGGCGGACAGCTGACAGCTTGCGCAGTTCGAGCAGCTGTAATTTCGACTTCCTTCTTGAATCCACAAAACGGTGCTGCCGAATGGGTGCTCTTTCTGCCCGTCAGACGCACCAGCTCCATCAACACAGCCAGCATGTCAAAAAGCCTCAAAATCACGCTTTCTTTTTTGCCATGAACGACACGCCTTGGCGAGCCTGGCTGGCGCAGAACAGCTTTTCCAACTTTGAAGCATTCGGACATCGCATGTAAGGATTGCAAACATCATTGCGTCTGAAACACCGCGCCGCTCCCGAACACATATACATCGGATAGCCGTGCATCCTGCATTCTGAAAACAAAAACAACAGCCAAAATATCAATATATCCGATAAACTAGCTTCAAAGAAATTGGCGATTTCTCCGGATGTGAACATGCGGTTTTAAGAGAAGCCGATACGGGCGTCCAGTTAGTGAATGCTTCAAGCATCAGACTGATAGCAACCAAGCGCTAACCAGCCTAATGTTCGAAAAGCGCCAAAACTGAAGTATTGCCCGCCTATGACTTTCATACATTATCTTGCGTAGCCATGATCTCGGCCTATTTAACCCGCCCTATACTACTGACACAAATTGCTTCCCTCTTCGCCAAAAAAATAATTGGCCAACGCACAGTCTGCCGGTGCGAAGATGCGTTTTTTGCATAGTTCCCGGCAGTTTTTGTTGCTACCGGCACCGGTTTTTTGGTAAATGCTTCTAGCTAAACAAACTAAGACTGGCCGCCAGAACCGTTAAGAAACATCTCCTTAAAATTTCAGTTTCCTACCTTTCCTTGCTCCTGAGTTAGCAACTTACTGGAAGAAAACTTTCACGGACCCGCACGTGGATACCACGCATACCCGAGGGCTGGGTTTGAGCTCATTAATACCTACTTGAACTGGCA